GTCTGCGTGAGTGGCCCCGTCCTGGGGAGGGGGCGTTCCGGGGAGGTCGCGGGGCCGGGCGGGCCGGACGGGGGCTGAAGCCGCGTCCCTGTCTTCTCTTGCAGCTCCGCATCTCCGCTAGCCGGTCCCGCGCCATGGCACAGGTAAGGTTGCGCGGCCGCACCGCGCTCGGCTGTGACCCCAACTTCCTAGATCGGGACGGGGGTGGACGTCCTAGAGTGTTTGGGAAAGCCTGAAAGCGAAGGGTTACCACGAGTCTCTCCCTCTCTTGCTGGCCCTGCTCTCCCCCGTCCCTTGGCGGTGTCCTTCGACCCCGCCCAGAGTCCCAGCTCCGGTCGTGCAGCAGCCGGTGACGTGGCGGGGCCTGGGGCTCTCCTCTTTTCCGGAGTAAATGTGTAGAACTGCCCTTCCCCAAATCCAGAGTTGATAAAATTAGAACCAGAGCTAGTACGGCTTATCGTAGTCATGTGAGGGAACGCCTAGTTTTTTCCTCTGGCTTCTCTTCTTTTTGTTCCCTCAAAGTTTGCTGTATTTTAATACTGTGGGTGGGTAGTGACTCTTTCCAGTTCTCAGCCCAGTTTTACTAAAAGAAACTGTTCGTCGTCAGCCCTGAATCTTTTCTTTCTCTTTCTTTTCTTTTCTCTTGTTTTTTCTTTCTCTCTTTCTCTTTCTCTTTTTCTGAAGATTAGACCGAAGAGCTATTTTTCTTGAGTAATGAACTCGTGGAACAAGTTCTGAATTGAATTTGCCTTGGGACTGTTTCAAAAGTTGGTTACCCAATATAGGTATTTTTCCCCCTTACTAGTACTTACCAAAATGTGGAAGAGAACATAGTTTATTTTATATAACTAGTAGCCCAAAAGTTGATCCTGTGGCTGGCACAGTAGCTTGCACTTGTAATCCCAGCTATTGGCCGGTCTTAGGAGTTTGAGGCTCCCTTGAACAATACAGAGACACCTTGTCTCAAAGAGGGGAAAAGAAAGTTGATTCCGTTTGATGGGTCAGCCTCGAGAGAGTTCTTGAGCCCAGAGAAGACCTCCTGAGCCCAGGAACAAGCCTGTTCTTCTTGAGGAAACACAGCTGCCCCACCTGCTGGGTCAAGTCAGGGTGGGTACTCAGCCATTCTCACTCCCCAGTATCAAGCCCCCCCCTTTCCACCCCTCTTGTCTCCATCCCTCTCAACCCCTACTCTGTCCAGAAAAGAAACAGCTCAGCAAACTGGACTCCACTGTCCTTTGGTGTCACTCCAGGAAGTCCTGCCCAGATACCCCAAATTCAGGCTGGCTGTGTTCTTTATTGGTTGTCACCATTTACCTAGCAATGGCATAAAATCTTTTCTGAGTAAGCTGTCATCAATTCTTTAATACATTCCAAGCCAAAACTATGTTTATATATCTTGCCAATCTAACTGGCTAGTCAGAGTCCATATAGTTTTTTTAAACAATTATTTTAACTGCACAAACAGTGCTCTCTCTTATTTGTAGTTAACCTTTTATCAGATTGGCTTATCAAAATTGAGTAAGGTTTCATGGTCCTTTCCAGGAGAAAGTAGTAGGATTAAGATGAGTTGGAAATTTAATTAAATTTATACAGTGCTTCCATTCTGACTTCCCCTTTTGCACTTTGTTATAACAAACCAGTTCTCATATTACTTCAAGTGGAAAGTTTGGTTTAGATCCTTCCCCATAGGAAGGATACTTTGATATGGAATTAACTTTCCTTCCCTGAGGAATATCTTTTCTGTCTGATATGTTTGTGTGGTGATAAACATGATTTAGCAAGAATTAAAGAATAATTCCCTTTATCCTTGTTCTCTTGGCTGTTTCTCACATCTCTTGTAAGTTTCTCTAGTGTCTGGAGACACATCAGTCAATTCCTTTCCATATATAGCCTTATTCAAGTCAGAATAAATGAGTACATTTTCCAAATGTAGATCTTAATTTTAACAGTTTCAAGGAATAATAGTGTAAAGATTCATATCTGCAAAGCTTAGGAGAATGATGGCTTGAATTATAAAATCACATACAAGGTCACTATCACAGTAGAACTCCAAGATTTTTTAAAAAAATCTAAACCAGTTTTTAGTCATCTTAAAAATTACAAGTTTCTCTGGTGTGAATAAACTATAATACTACATAAGATCCTAATGAGATAATTAACACTGTGGAACAGGAAGAAAGAGGCTAAAGGTGTAGGGAAAGTGGGAGGGGTAGGGGGAAGCTAATAAGGGAAAAGAAAAAAATATGGGAAAATGGAAATAAAGTGTTTATAAATGGGGAGGGGAGGAGAGGGTGAAGGGAGGGCAGGGACAAGGGGAAAAATGAGAACCAAGACCTGTCATGTAAAGGTACAAGATCCCAATAATGAATGTAACTGTACTGTATACCTAAAATGTACCAATAAACTCAATGAGGAAAACAAACAAACAAACCAAAAAACCCAGTCAAAAAAATCACAAGTAACCCGTTAAGAAAGTGCAGTGTTGAATTTTGCTCTGGTTTTGTTACTAATTCTGAGAAATCAGGGAAGTAAAATATTTTGCTAAAACATTTAATATTAAGATGGTTTTGTTATCCTTAGGCGTACCCTTTATGATGTATAGTATGCCTATATTATGGAATTGCACTTCTACTATTTAAAGTTTGACTTGGAGCCCAGTGTAATTGTAGGACAGCTGGAGCTTTCAATACTGGGTTTCAAGTGTTTCTGTAGAAGTACCTTTGGTTGACCTGTGCGTATGGGAGCCAGACTTCCACTCCAGGGACAGCTGGAAAGTAATGGAATCAGATATCAGTCTAGAGTTGAATGTTTCAGTAATTGAAAATGTATTCTTTCTTTTCTTTTCTTTTCTTTTTTTTTTTTTTTCTCGGTACCAGGGATTGAACTCAGGACCTTGTGTTTGCGGGGTGGGTATGGCACCACTGAACTATTTCCCCGACCCTGAAAATGTATTATTTCAATACTAATATCCCTTATTTTTTGAAGAACTTAAATGCATTTTTCTTGCACAATAATTCTCCATAGTTATGAACTATAGCTTCTGTATTGACAATTTCTTTTTACTCATTTGTGATCAACCCTCTGACTATAATAGTGTATGTAAAAATCCAAAAATTAGTTGTATGTACAGACCATGGCCATGATGGTCTTGCTAAGAATTTGACTAGAAATATAGATGGATTTCTGATAGATATGTTGCATTTTTTTGAAACCACCTATTACTAAAAGTTTTAGTCTTGCGTATATTTGTATTACTATTTGTTTGCATTTGGAATTCACATTCATAGTTAGATTTTACCTTAATCATGTCAGGATAGGGAAATAAATTTGTGGCAAAAGACGGTACTGAGAACAGCATAATTTATATTATCATGTTGGGCAAAAATATTCAGACCTGGAGGCCACTTCACTTGCGCTTCTTTTTCTGATCCTATTTAGTCCTGAAACGTGGCATTCTACCAACTGAGTATTCTGATAGAGTAGTACTTTAATCAGGTTTCTTTTTTTCTTTCATTCATTCCTTTTTTTTTTTTGGTGTGAGGATCGAAGCCCAGGGCCTATTGACTGATCTGTGTCCCTAGCCCTTTTACTTTTAAATTTTGAAGCAAAGTCTTGCTAAATCAATAAATTGCCCAAGCTGGGCTTGGCCTTTAGATCCTTTTGCCTCAGCCTGCCAGAGTGCTGCGATTCCAGGAGTGTGCCACCATACCCACTTTAATGATAGGTTTTGAAATCTTTCACCTTTTTCTTTGTGTAGCCAACTTCAGATTATATAAATAACAAATTTTTATTTAGGTCTTTCTTGCTTATGCTATTTTTTCATTTTACTTTTTAGCTTGACCCAAATTATTTCACTCCATCTTGTTTTATAAGTACTTAAAGTACATGGGCTTGTTTCCTTTGGAATAATTAAGAGTTAGTTATACTTCCTGATTGTATAATCTATTTTTAACAAATTTTAACTCCATTTAAAGCTTTTATATATTTTTAAGATAATCGAACTTTAAAATTTAGATTTTTGAGAAATCTGAGCTTAATCTCACTTATGTTATTTAAGAAGATTTATATCTTAAGGGTAGCAGAAATGTCATGAAGGCAAAACTGGGTTATATTGTTGTTCACTAGAAATTTCATGAATAAAAGAGTTATCTCCATGATACATATTTAAAATGTGCAAAGTGCAATAAGAAAATTCTTGGATTGACTGTGCAGAGCGAGGAGGACGGGTGTACATAAGTCAATTTGTGAGGAGGCTCATTCCAGGAGCTGACTGGCTGTGGATTCACTTTTAAGGCCATGTGTCTGTAGCTGCTGTATCTTGGGATCTTAGATCAAGGTCACCTGTTATCTATGGCCTATGCCTGAGTGAGTCTGTTTCAGTTCCTGACCCCTTTGATCCCTTTGACTATTTTTTGTTTTGCTTTTTGTTTTTTTGAAGACAGGGTTTCACTATGTAGTTAAGACTACCTGGAACTCACTATGTAGCCCAAGCAGGTCTTGAACTCACAGCGATCCTCCTGCCTCAGCCTCTGGAGTGCTGGGATTACAGGCGTGCACCACCACCCCAGGCCTGACCCCTTTGACTCTTGTCTTCATGTGTGCACCGGGAAAGAAGTAGATGCAAAGCCCTTGGCTGTGTTGCAAGTCACTGAACAATTCTTTAGCATTCAGAAAACCCTGTTTCCCTTACCTAAAGTCCCATGCATCCTTGGGAGGCAAATAAAGAGATATAACAGCAAATACAAATGCTTAGGGAGTGTAAAGAATTTTTATTTCTGTCTCTCTACCTTTTTATCAGCTGCCTGGAGTCTTTGGAAACCTGAGTCTCTGAAGAACCATACTTAAAATCTCCACACAGCCACATTAGCAGTTGCTTGACTATGCTAGTTTGCTTCCTAGTTTATGGCTCCTTGTCAGTATTGTGTGCAATGTTAGGTGGGTGTGTGATTAAACTTTGATTATATAGTACGGAAGATTGAGAGGGTTTAGTCTTCTTTGTTCCTCTAGGGAAGCTTTATTTGAAATGTTCCAGACTGATGAATGTTTTCTCCTCTTCAAATGTGAGAATATTATTTGTATATTATTTTCCTATGTCTTTAAACCCTGTATGTAGAAAAAGCAACCCTTCACTTGGTTTTTGGTTAATTTTAATCATTTTATTTTGGCCTATCTTGTTTTTGAGGGACTGGTGGGAGGTAAAAGACCTTCTAATTTATAGGAGGAGAAAAGTGAACAGAATTACAGAGCTAAAGAATAGGTATTTTGGAAAAAAATAGATATTTTGGAAGATTAGAATTGAGAGTAAATGTTATGTTCTGGTCTTGTGTTGTCTAAGAATCCATAATTCTCTCCATGAGGCAGTGGTGATAGCAGATGAAGGGGAATGGAGATGGACTGAGGATGAGTCAGGGAGTAATAGAAGCTTCTTAGAGTAGAAGTTAAGGTGGGTGCCAGGAAATAGGAGAAGCCCTCTTGAATGACTCGTTTAGAAGCCTAGCTGCAGGCAGTGCTGTGTGGGCAGTGGTGGGGTTTAGGCAGGAAGTCCAAAGAAGGGATCTGCCCTTATGACTCGTGTTTCTGAGTCACATCTGGCCCCTTGATACCGCTATGTGGCATTCTTAGCTTTGGCAGTGACTCCAATTGTATGAATGTAGCAAAAGTTTCACAATTTTTAGGTTGCGGTATATAACTAGCAGTTATTTCTTCTCCATAGCTAATAGCTGAGGACATTTTTAAGGACTTTTTTTTTTTTTCTTTTCACCTTTTACCTCATTTTTCTTAGTCCCTCAGGTCAGATTTTTTTTCTTTGAGACAGATGTCTCTTATCTCTTCTCTTTTTAAACTCTTCCTCATTTTTAACTCTTCTAGCAATTTCTTCAAAGCCCATAGCCAAATAAATCCACCATTGCATGTAAGATGAGGGAAGCTGAGGTATCTGCCTCTCAGTTTACTCTTGCGTGTCTGGCAGTCAGACTTTTACTGCCACTGAAGACCTCCTACCAGATCCAAGGGACCCTGTTGATCATAACTCTTAGTAGACTTTCCTGTGGTATTGGATGATTTTTCCTTTCTGTGTGGAACATTTTCCCTTTTGGCTGCTCTGTGTGACCCACTGGAATTTCCTCTTGCCTTTGGGAGGCATGGTGGGATTGTAGTTAGGAGTTCAGGAGCACAGTGCCATAGCTCTGGTACTTGCTTATTTATGGTCACGTGGGTGACTTGCTCTGCTTGTGTACAGTGCTATCGCACTGAGACGATCCACCCTCAGCAGATAGGAGCTGCCATTCTCACTGCAGGTCACCTTCCACAGTATGGCTGCTGTAGAGAAATGCAAAATCAGCCACCATGTCTCCATCCAAATCAGAATCATCCCAAATAGTCATTTCTGTTCCTGCTTTTTCACACCACTGGATTTGATCAGGACTTTCATATAAATTTTGGTTTTAGTAGATTTGGACAGTCTTCATTCTCTCCTCTTTTTTTTCGGATACAGAGCCTCACCACGTTGCTGGCCTCACTTTTCCTGCCTCACCCTCCCCAAGTTCCGGGGCTATAGGTGCTCTGAATGCCCTTTCTGTCTCTACTCTTCCACAGTCCATTCTACTGTTTCCACTGCTTCCAGAGTCATTACTGTGCAGAGCTGATGCTGTTCTGCCATGCTTGAATGTCTTCATTCAAGGCTTCCTGTTGCCTACAAGATGACATCTGCAGTTTTAGTATGTTTTTTTTGTGTGTGTATGTGCCCTTCCCGTGACCTTCCTCTTAATGGTTTTTCTGTTCAACCTGCTTGTTCCAATCTATTGAAATAGTTAACCCTTTATCCAAAGTACCAGATCATTTCATTCTTCCATACTTCATGCATGCTGAAAAATACCCTTTGTGCTTCACCCTTTTGGCTTTTCTGGTCATGGTTGTCAAATTCACAGGCGATTTTCAAGAGATATTTTGGAGTTTTTTCCAATTTCTTATCCCACTCTAATAATTTACTTTCCTGCTTGTGTGTGCTCACATTACTTTGATCTAACCTTTGTGCATATGCACTCTACTGTACTTGATTCTTTTTACAGTAGGCTTGTCATTTCTGTTTTAGTGGTCATGACTTTTAGTGCAATATTGGGAACACAGAAAACTTTAAAATGCTTAAGCAAATGAATAAAAGTGAACAGCAATGGCAAGCCAGTCCTAAATCACACATGAAGAATGCTTGGAGTATTTATTCATTTTCATAGTGATATTGATGGTACCTTTATAAAGTCCCACTAAACAAAAACCACAATTTGGCTTGTGAGAAGTAATTTTCCTGACCTGTTGTTATTTGAAGGTCGATTAACTCCATTCTTATTAATTTCTCTCCCAGTTATAGGCTGCTATATATTATGTGAAATTACCAGTATTCAGCCTTTCAATTTCATATGACTTAAGCTATGGAATTAGTGAAAGGAACTTACTGATCCTCATGCCTCTCTACGCCTCTAAGATGAGGTGGAGGTGGAGCTTAGCCTAGTGGATTTCCCACTTAGTAGAATAAATAGGCCTGGCTTTCATTGATTTTCCTGTGAGATGAGTGGGAGAGAGGCTTCCTGTCCTGTATCCTTTTCCTACTTGGCAGCAGTCATTTGTTCAGCTGAGGGACTGAGGGGATAAAAACTGTCAGCATGCTGTGGCAGGGACATCATCCTGGGAATGCCCCTTTTTCTTGTGGATTGTGCTCTTTTGCCATGTGATCACAGCACTTGATATGGGGAGTAAGGTCAGGAGAAGGTTCATGATGTCAGATTTACCTGTAGGTTGTCTCATAACTGCCTCTGTTCACAGGAAAGAAGAATCTCTCTTCTTTCCTTGACCAAGAAGAGGGACTACTGTTAAAGAAGTCTGACAATAAAGACTTGTTGGCCCAAGATTCAATCTAAAAATTTTGGGGGGACACAGATGTTCAGTCCATAACAGAGGGTGGTTAGATATTCAGATCAGGTCTCTCTTTCCTAATATGACTTAGTAGGATTCTTGCTACAGGTGGGTTAGGCAGGAAGACAGGAAAGCAGGCTCGGAGGAACCTGTCTAATACTTGGTTAAGCAGAGTCTTTGTCAGAATCAGTTGGATCCATGAAATTCATTTTTTCCCCAGGAAGCATAACCTAGTGCCACTAAGGAGGGAAGGCCACTGAGCTGAGCTTGCTGCTGGGTACTGTGGAAATTCTTCCCATGGTGATCTCTCTTGTCATATCTTAAAAATGTGATTAGCCTTAAGACATTGTTGGTATGAAGATTTTTTTTTTCTTTTGTAGGTGACTGCGCTTCTATGCATTCATTATAAAACATATATATATATATACACACACACATATGTACATATATATAAATGCAAACTAGACTATTCTCAGGCTCACCCTCCTGTTTGTTACAACATTAATAGGAGTTTGAGGAATTCAAAAGCATTTATTGGTAAAAAGTCAATGCTGGGAGTGTCCTCTATCATAGAATAAACATTTATGATTCAGTATTAGTAAGGCTTCTGACTCTTAAGTATCTAATGATACTGTGATATGGAGGAAATATTAACATTTTGATTATTAAAAAATATGCATAACAGGATATTCTTTTTAAAGAATATCTTCCAGCATGTTCTTGTGGCATATAAATTACAAAGTATCTTTTTTAGGCCTTGGTAAGTTATCTTCAACTCTGTACAGAAATAGGATTTAGGATGAAAGTGTTTGGATTAAGAGCTTTGCTTAAGGCTGTGCTCAGGGTAGGATGTCATGTTTTAATGTAGATTTAGCTCCTACATCAAAGTGGTAGAGACTTAATGTGAATGAATCCAGGGAGGAAGTGCACTCTGTGAAGCTGGGGATTGTGGTGGAGTACAGTCTTAGGGGTGAGGCCCAGGGGAAGGGAGAGCCTGTTGGCCTTCCCACTTCTGGTATTGCTGGTGGGTTAGGGTAGCTCATATGCTGAATTGGTCCTGCTAATCTACATTGCAAATGGTCCAGTTTTTAAATGGGACATAAACAGTATCAGATGGCAAACTTACTTCGAAAGCAAATGAGACTATGATGTTTGCTTTGCCACACCGGTAACGACTATGATGTTTGCTTTGCCACACCGGTAACGACATAGACGGTACCACTGTGCTTCCTGTCTTAGGTTCTAAGAGGCACCGTGACTGCCTTCCCTGGATTTGATGATCGGGCCGATGCAGAAACTCTTCGGAAGGCCATGAAAGGCCTGGGTAAGTTTAACCTCCGGTTTGTTCTAATTTTATAAAAGGAATGAATTATAATGAGATTAATTTTAGAATAATGATATGAAATTTATAGGAGAGAAGACACATTAAGGTAGCAAAATAGTACTACGGATCATCCTTGATATTCATTCCTGTTAGCCATTTACAAACCTCTCATCTGAAGGATTCCCACGTGTCACTCATGCCCTGCACTCAGGCTCCTTCTGCACCAGTGTCCTTTGCTCTCTGGCCTCCCGAGATCTTTGTCAACTCCACAATCCACTGTGGCCTCATGCGTTATCTGTGAGTCCTCAAAGCCCTACATTTTCCTATTGCTGAGCTTTTTCCTTTTTCTAAAAATCTTTCTTTTAGATCCCTGCTTCTCACAATCCTGTTATTCTTCAAAACTGTTATGGGTGTTACCTTCTACGTGGAACTTTCCCTAGAACTTCTTTCTGCCTCCCCTCAAGTAGAGAACCTGCTTTGAACCCATTTATCACATGGACTTCTCCTGAACCACTTGACACTCAACCCTACCTCATAGTTATTTGTGTGTTGTATTTTGCACTCAAAATTATCTTTAACTTGAAGCCAGACTCTATACCTTTCTCCTTTGCCAGTTACTGTAACACCAGCACACTGTGCCTCGTGAATAGTTGTTACTTGAGTAACTATTTGTTGCATGAAAAACTAGGAGCACTCAGTTTTTAAAAAGTAAGAAGTATTTTTTCACCTACTTCAAAATATGATGGGAATAGAGGGTAGTGTATATCAGAAATAAAACATTTTGTATATTGTCAGTATTATATTTTTAATAAATAATTCAATAAAACATATTTTATATGCTCAGAGAGAAGAAAGGAAATAAAGTGACTGGGGAGCTGGTTTGGGGGGTTATTGAGAGTGGGCCTGGGAGAGGCAAGTTGTAATTGTTAATCACAAACTGCAGGCACTGATGAGGAGACCATCCTGACCCTCTTGACATCCCGAAGTAATGCTCAGCGCCAGAAAATTTCTGAGGCGTATAAGACTCTGTTTGGAAGGGTAAGATCACACTTGGTCCCCAGGTGGAATATCAGGATGGCTGTGATTTTTAAGAGAGTTTCCTGATTTCAGTGGGAGACTGATTCTAGGACTCTAGAGAAATAAAATGTACAGGTGTTCAAGTCCCTTAAATAAAATGACATACTGTTTGCATATAAGGCATGTACACCTTCCTATATACTTTGTCATTTCTAAATTGTGGTATCTAATACAATATAACTGCTCATTTGTTTAGGGAATGACAAAAAAATATCTGTACATATTTGATATAGATGCAGTTTTTAACCCATGTGTTTTCAGTTGAGGTTGGTTGAACCTGCGAATATAGAACCTGCAGATATGGAGAACAATTGTACTAATATTCTTTTGTAAAGAATATTATTTATGGTAAAGAATGTCATTTATTTTGTGACTCTCACTTTTTTTTTTCCTGTTTTCTTCTAAATTATGTGCTGTTGGTATGTAATATTCACCTGACTTATCCTCACATAATTATTTTTCCTGGCTTGAAGCCTTCAAGGTCTCAGAAGACCCCTTTTCTCTTCTGTGCTTCCCACTGAGCCTTGTTTAATTCTCCATTTTCTACGTAAGCTTCTGCTGAAGTGTTTTGTTATGGCAGTCATAATCTTGGTTGCTTTTGTGGTGATTGAAACAAATGCATTTTAAATTAAATGATTTAAGTGTTTTTACTAACAGTTCAAAGTAAAATTACTAAATGAATTAATGTATGGATGAAAAACTTTATAATTTAGTTATCTTGAAAATTTATACGTCGTTTAATTAAGAAACAAGTATAGAACAAATACATTCTGTTTTTTGTTTTGCTTTGTTTCATTTTCTAAAGTATTGGTGATGGAACTCTCAGTCTTATGTATACCAGGCAAGTGCTCTGCCATGGGGCTATATCTTCAGTCCATGCTTTTAGCCTACTTTTAAAAAATGTTCATTCTTTTTAACTTCTGAAATTAATAAAAAAAACACCTCTTAAAAACAAATAGGTGATGTGTAAGTATTCATGTCAGATGTCAAAAACATGTTCTTCACGTCCTTGGGCTTTTGTGGAGCTCCTGGGTCTTCTGCTTGGAGACAGTAGCATATAGATTTCATTAAAGTAAAGGGCTATCATTCATATTTAAGAAGAATCTCCTTAAAATCTGCCTGGCTGACCAGCTTGTGCTTTCTGTGAGTTAGGATCTTCTGGATGACTTGAAATCAGAACTGACTGGAAAATTTGAGAAATTAATTGTGGCTCTGATGAAACCCTCTCAGCTTTATGATGCCTATGAATTGAAGCATGCTCTTAAGGTAAAAGGATGCGTGAAAGGAACTTTCCTATCATACGTAATGTCATTTTGCTTGGGTAATTACTTCATCTTAGCTGTTCCATTTAAAAAAATATCTAATTTATTTCGTTAAAGGCTACTTTTAAGACCCAACTGTGGGAGGCAAGAAGTACAGGAAGAAAAATAATAGGTGTCGTTTAATAGCTTTGTATGCTTAAGCTCACTAACATTGGCTATTTAAATTTTTAAGCTTTAGAACTTTTCCTATTTTATTTTCATGCCTGTCTTCTAATTTTGAGAGTGTTTAAAAAACGTTACAAATGAAGTGTTTTAGCTCCTAATGTTGAAAGTTATCTGATTAGGAAGAACAAAGTAACTGGTAAACTTGTTATAATTTCTGTTGTAGCAAAAAATAAATATGTATTTCCTCTAGGGGTGTTTGGGTTGTATACATATGGCGGCATTGAAACATTTACTTGGTGTTAGGGGGATAAGAAATAGTTCAGGGGTGAGGAGTTGAATTTTAAGAGTGCAAATTGAAATTTAACCACAAGGAGATAATGTAGCTCAGGGAGTCTTAGGGAGTGGAAGGAGAAAAAGATTTATTTATTTAGAAGCCTCTTTATGCAAATGCTCTTCATTCTTTTGAAGTAAATAAAATAATAGGTTATTGCAGAAACAGCTTTCTTAAAGACTATTTCTGGACATCAACAGTAGCTGAAATTCTGCCGGAAGATGAACCCAGGTTTTTAGTGCTTTATATTTTTTGGTAAAGAAACAAATATAAAGGAAATAGGTTTTAAATCTTTTTCTTTTTAAAATTAAGTTCAGGCATATTATTCTTATATTTTCTCATTTAGCAATGTGGATAAGAATTTCATAAGCAGCAAAAAGAAAATCAACTAAAATTATTTTCCAAAAATCTAAAAAGCAAGTTCCAATTCCTTTACACGGATACAGTTTGTAAAAACTAAGCAATGCTAATTTATTGTTGCCTTTGTTAGCTTTCCATTACTGTAAAAAGTACCTGAAAAAGTTTGTTTTGGCTCACAGTTTTAGAGGTTTCAGTCTGTGATAGACTGGCCCTGGTGCTTTGAGCTTGTGTCCAGGCAGTGGGTTATGGCCGGAGCTCATGGCAAAGTAAAACCACTCCCTTTACTCCTGGGAAGCAGAAGAGAGGGAAGAGGGGTCACGGTTCCATAGTCTCCTGCACGATCACGCCCCCAGTGACCTGATGACCTGTACTAGGTCCATCAGCAGAGGTGTTACCCTGCCCGGGTAGTGTGCTGCTCTGAGAACCAAGCCTGTAATACCTGAGTCTGTTCCATTTAACTGTAGTATTATCTGGGTGCACAGTTTGCTTGTGGCTTCATATAGAATCTTACTTGGATATAGGGATTTATTTTTTGAGGTATGGATTGTTTAAGTGTCAGTGATCCTCCACATAAATGCATGAAAACTTTCCATTTTTATTATTTCAGCCTTTTTGTTATTTCACATCATTACAATATTTTTTGTTTTGTTTTGGTTTTTTTGTTTGTTTTTTTGGTACTGGATATTGATCTCTGGACTTATGCTTTCAAGGCAGGCAGCAGAATCACTGAGCTCAGTCCCTGTCTCTCATTACTTTAAACTAGAATCAACTAATCAGATTGTAAGTCACAAATATATATAATCTATTATATATATACATATATATGTATGTATACGCACACACATATACACATATATAGAAAACTATATAACAACATGTATACATATATTTAACAATAAACATTGTTTTCACTAGGCAAAAGAATAAAGAAAAGTGTTTTTGGAAAGAAAATTAATTTAAATTTTCATAACACTAATAGAATTTATAAATAAAGTAATCCATGTTATGTTGGATGATGCTTATATAATTATGCAATTTGGTAACATCTAGGGAGATAGTTTTCTTTTTAATATTAGTGACATATTTTCTCTCTTAAAAATAAATTTCCAAACAGGGAGCTGGGACAAATGAAAAAGTACTGACAGAAATTATTGCTTCAAGGACACCTGAAGAAATAAGAGCCATAAAAGAAGTTTATGAGGAAGGTAAATATTTTGAATTACATATTAGCTTTCTCTGTCACTTTCAGCTGTCAAACCTGAATGCATTACTTTTATAGATACAGCAGGTAGGTAATACATGATCGTTGAATAAATGAGTAAAGGAATGAACTACAATTAAAGCTGTTTTTCCTCATCAGTTAAAAAAACAACACTTACTTGCCTTTCATCCTGTAATTATTTTAAGTAGTTTATAAGAAATACAAATTTAGATGAAGTTTATTTTTGGATAGAATTTAGACTATTAGAGGAATATACAGGTTATCTTTCTTTTACATGAGTTTAAGGTATATAGATGCACATTTTCTTCTAATAAATTTAATCTTATGCTAGTAGAAATTAAAAGTTATGTAAAAGCATTTTGGGAACATGGAAAAGGAAGCATTTTCAGAGCTGACAGAAGTATCTGAGTGTGTGTTTTAGCTAATTTCAGTGCTTGAATGACATACTTTGCATTTTGATTTTTCTTTTTAGTCCGCTTACTTTTTCATTTCAACCTAGAGTATCCTTCCTATGAATAGACTCAAGCAAATGAGATGAAAGTAAAGGTAGAGAATTATTCTTGTCAGATTTTTTGAAGCGGACTCTTTTTCTCGTTCTAAGAAAGTACAGGCCATGCGGGTTGTTAGTTCGATGGGCAGTTAGTCTGCGCCTTGTGCCTTTTGTGGGGGGAATGCGTCTCTATCTCAGTGTTAGTTTGTTGATCTTAGAAATGTCTTTGTTAACCCATCAAGTCAGAGCAGTATGAGATTTAGACCAACTAAATAATTATCTTTCCAAAGTATGGTGTTTCTCTTTTATGCTTTTGTTTTTATAGTTAGTGAGGTGACCATTAAGACAGAAGTGACGCAGCCTTTAGGTTTATTTGATATATTATTCAGAGACCTCTTTCTGGGGGCATTGAGGTCAGTGATTGAGCCTTCGTGTTGCTAGATGACAAGTGAAATGCTGGAAGGGAGCAACGGCTGTGTGGTCTGTCCTACTCAGCCATGTTATTGATCACTAACTATATATCTGGCACTGTTCTAGCTGTGCAGACACAACTCCTCTCCTCAAGGTTTTTGCATGCAGCCTGAGGGCTAAGGGTGACATGATTTAGTGCAACTGCAGTAAAGAATAGTGAGATTCAAACTACTGTCAAATATGAAAGTCCTCAGATATTTGGGTGGTTAGGAGGCTTTCATGAAGCAAACGAGACAATTAGCAGACTTTCAAAACTAAGTAGGCTTGCTGAATATTCATTTTTAGATGAGTGGATAAGAAATAGTGTACACACTCATAGAACTACAGCTTACTCAGCCTTGAGATGGTAACTCCTATCATTTACATTCTGGTTTTTCTTTTTACTTCCTTACTTTCTTTTTTTTTAAACCTAGAGCATCCTATGCATGGAACTTGGAAGCACAGATGAACTTGGAAGGCGTTCTGTTAAGTGAAAAAAGCCAGGTGCAGAAAGGCAAACAATTGCATGATTTCACTTATGTGTGGAATCTAAACAGTTGAACTGATAGAAGTGGATAGTAGAATGGTGTTTGCCAGGGGCTGTGCAGTGGGAAGGGGAGACAGGGTTTAAAGGGAAAAGGTGATAAGGGGATATCGGTCACAATACCTGAATACCTGAATTCATTACCTGAATGAGCCAGGCTAGGCTGGGTCAGTGGTGGTGAATCTGTGCCACACAGCAGACTGTTTCATTGAAAGTTCTGGAAGGTTTTCCATCGCTGAGCTACGTCATAGATGGTTTTGCAAGACTGGATGGTGAATTTGGGCTCAATTCAAAGGCACTGTGAATTCCTAAATGGGCAATAGAGTGCTGAAGGAACAGTTGAAGGAAGAGAGGAGTTTTGAATCAACAGGCTTATTTGGTAGCCAGATGTGTGAGGAGGTAAGTAGGTATTCAGAAATTATGGCCCCTCCTAGGGCGATGGGAGGTTTGAGGTGTTTAAATCAGAGAGAAAAGAAGGATTTGATGGTTAATTACTTATAATGTTGGAACTGACAAAGGAATCAGATTTCTGCAAGTTTTTGATTGGGAAATTTATTGGAATAAACGTATATTTTTTTTCCCTTTTAAAATAGAGGCTTTAGGCTTTTAAAGATCACCTGCTTTCACATAATCATGAAATATTTGAATATGTTAAGGTACTATCTGTTTTCTTGTAATAGCAGCTGTCTGAGTGTTAGTGGAAAGGGGTTACAGGCCCTGTCGATGTCAGATCTCCCTTTTCCTGTGATCTTATGTTGAAGAATTGGCAGTAGAAATAGGAGGAACATAGTTTAAAATGTCATTGCTGTCTCTCAACATTAACTTTATTTGCTATATAGGAAAAAAAAAATCTCATTAGAGCTGTGGTCATGCAGAAGGAAAGGAAACTCAGGATGGAAGATATTTGGAAACCAATTATGTAAAACATTTGAACTTACGATTAAATTTATTAGTAAAATTTAGATATATGTAATGATAACATTCATCATATGAAATTTGTACCTGTACATGATGTATCTTGATTCTTATGGTTTTCTCACTCCCTTTCTCTCCCTTCTACCCCTTATTTACAACAGCCTTGCTTCCATCTTATCTTCCTATTGTTTTATTTTATCTTCTCTTCCTTCCTTTCCCCCTCTTCCCTTCCTTGTGTCTCTTCCTATTTGGACATTTTCTTCCTATTTCACAGTATCTGTTAAACATTTCTGCTCTTATTTACACTTTCAGTTTCTCACTCTAGAAAAAAACATGTGATATATGAACATGTGTATCTGTTTTATTTCACCTAAGAGTGTGGTCTGTAGGTGTGTCCACTTAGTTATAAATATCTCAAGTTTATCCTTCTTTATGGCTGAGTAGTGCTCCATTGTATTAAAAAAAGCCATATTTTCTTTATCCATTCATCAGTTGGTGGGCATCTGGGTTATTTACAAGATTTAGCTATTATAAACTGTGCTGCTATGAACATGGGTATGCATATATCACTGAGGTGTGATGCTTTTAATTCTTTTGGGAAGATACCAAAAATGAAGATCGCTAGGTCTAATGGAACATCTAATTTTAGTTTTTGTGAGGGATCTCTATGCTGATTTCCATAGTGATTGCATGAATCTACACTCCCGCCAGCAGTGTAGAAGGGATCCTTTTTCCCCACATCCCTGCCAGCATTTATTGTTGGTTCATTTCTTGATAGCAGCCATTCTTTCTAAGTGAGATGGAGTTTCAGCGTTGTTTTCATTTGCATCTCTCATGACCAGTTGAACATTTTTTCATATATTTATTTGCTGTTTGTACTTACCTGAGAAGTGTGTATTCATATGAAATGCCTATTTTTGGATTGGGTCTTTAAATGTGGGTGGTTTGATTTTTTGAGTTCTTTATATATTCTAGATATTATTCCTTTAAGGAACCACTGGCAAAAATTTTTCCCACTCTATTAGTGACTTCTTTTGCTGTTCAAATGATTTTTTAATAAGATGAGATCCCAGTTGTTCTTTGTAATATTTCCCATGCAGTTGGGATTTTATTCATAATGTCTTTGCATACCCCTATGTCTTCAAGAGTTCTACCTAAGCAGGGTATGGTGGTGCACGCCTGTAAACCCAGCACTCAGGAGGCTGAGGCAGGAGGATCGCTGTGAGTTTGAGACCAGCCTGGGCTATGTAGTGAGTTCCAGGTCAGTCTCAACTACATAGTGAGACCCTGTCTCAAAAAAACAAACAAAAAAATTCTACCTATTCTGTTTTCCAGCAGATTTAATGTTTCTGTTTTAATATTTAGGTCTTTGATGCATTTTGATTTTAGTTTAGTGCATGGTGAGAGATGTGTCTAGTTTTAGTCTTTGGAATGTGGACAGCCAGTTTTTCCAGCACCATTTATTAAAGAGGCTTTCTTCCAGAGAAGGTTTTCGGCCAATTTCTCAAAGATAAGATGGCTGAGTCATTTCTGCATCTTCTCATCTGTTCCATTGATCCTCAGGTCTCGTTTTTGTTTTGTTTTTTCTAGTACCATTCTGTTTTTATTACAGAAGCTCTGAAGTATAATTTTGAGTTAGGGATTGTGTTGCCTCCTGCCTTGCCTTCATTGCTCAGGATTGCTGTTGCTATTCTAGTTCTCTTCTAGTTCCAAATGAATTTCAGGAATATTTTCTCTAGTTCTGTGAGGTATGCTATTTGTTATTTTGATTGGGATTGCATTAAATCTGTTTAACAATTTTGGGAGTATGGCTAGTTGTACTATGTTGGTTCTTCCTAACCATGAGCAAGGAATATCTTTACATTCTCTGATATCCTATTTGATCTCCTTTTTCAGAGTACTTTAGTTTTCAATGTAAAGATATTTTACTTCCAAAAATAAATATCTTTTACTTCCTTTGTTAGATTAATTCCTAAGTATTTAATTTTTTTGATGCTATTGTGAAAGGAGTAGTTTCTCTAATTTCTCTCTCAATAAGTTTGTTATTTGTGTATAGGAATGCTGTTGATTTTTTAGTGTTTACTTTATATTCAGCTACACGACTGGATTTGGCTATTAAATCTAGAAGTCTTGGTGAAGTTTTTGGAGTCTTTTATGTAGAATATCATGCCACCTTCAAATAATGATAGTTTAACTTTTTCCTTTGCTAGCTTTATATTTTTTATTTCTTTGTCTAATTGTTTCATTTGATGTTTCCAGAGCTATATTGAATAAGAGTGGTGATAGAGGACATCCTGTCTTGTTCCTATTTTAGAGTGAAAGCTTTCAGTTTTTGACCATGTAGTATGATGTCTGTTGATTTGTCATAGATGGCTTTTATCAGATTGAGATAAAGGCCATTTATTCCAATTTTCTTACAGGTTTTTAATGTGAATGGGTGTTGGACTTTATTAAATGCTTTTTCTGCATCTATTGAGATAATCCTGTGATTTTAGTCCTGGGCTCTGTTAATATGGCATATTACATTTATTGATTTGTGTGTGTTGAACCATCCCTGCATCCTTGGGATAAATCCTGCCTGGTTTCCCTGCATAATCTTCTTGATGATTTGCTGCATTCTGCTTGTCAGTATCTTAATGAGGATTTTTGCATCTGTGTTCATTAAGGAAATGGGCCTATAGGACTCTTTTTTGGTTGGATCCTTCTCTGGTTTTGGTATCAGGGTAATGCATTGCTTCCAGAAATGACTTTGGGAGTATTGCTTCCCTTTCAATTTTATTAAAGAATTTGAAGAGTAGTGGCATTAGATTGTCTCTGAATTTCTTATAGTATTCAGCTGTGAATCTATCAATTTAGGCTTTTCTTTGTTAGGTTTTTAATTACCTCTTCAATTTCATTAAATTGGACTGATTACATTTGCGAGGCTTTATGAGTACCTTTATGAGTCTTTAGATTAATTACTAAAATGGCTCAGAGCATTTCTAATCGGCTGAGTCATGATTTAAACTTCAGTCAAGTGCTTTTGAGAGACTTTAATTCATTTTTGTCTAGCCACTCAGAGTATTTGCCTTCAGTCTTTAAAGCACTCATGTTTATCAAATGCAATATTTCTTTGTATCTTTTTTATTTGATTAATGGGGCGGGATGTCTTTTTGTGGCTGGCAGAAACTGTAAGTTTAAAATCATTGTATTGCAGAATATGGCTCAAGCCTGGAAGATGATGTGGTGGGTGACACTTCAGGGAACTACCAGAGAATGTTGGTTGTTCTTCTTCAGGTATTGGCTGGGGACAAATCATAGAATCATAGTTGCCTAACAAGTCAGTGGTTGGACTGCTTTGTCTCTATTAAGTAAAGACACTTAAAATTATTTTAATAATTGCTGGTACTTGCTGATTCTGACTCTGATCACTGAATGTTGCCTGTACTTATTTATATTTATGACCTCTAAACACTTAATATCTAAGACATCCCCTTGTTTTTCACAATAATACATAGGCTCATCTTGTACAAAATCTAAAGTCAGGAGGGTTGGATTAGTTTTGGAGTGATGTGAGATAGTGTGAAATATTAGAATGGATAGGATCTTTTTTTTGGTAATGGGAATCAAACTGAGGCTCTTGTGCTTGTGATGCAGATATTGGCACCATTGAGCTAAAGCCCCAGCCCTAGGATGGATAGGATCTTAAAAGCATATTATGTTACTGCTAAGAGAAATAGATTTATGTCCATAGCCATCAGAAGGAACATGCAGCATAGTTCAGTAATCTGATATATTCTCTCTTACAGGCAAATAGAGACGTTGATGGTGGAATTGATGAAAATCAAGTTGAACAAGATGCTCAGGTGAGTGTGGCTACCATCTGATGAAGTTTAATTAAGACTTAGAGATGAAGAAAGAATTCAGGGTAATGGAGAATCACAATGTATGTTATAAGAGCCAACAGAAGTGGTCTAGTTTATGAGTCCGTTAAAATGATAGGACCCACCAGGGATTTATAGTTCAGTGTCTCTGCTGCCTGCCTCACATACACAAGGTCCTGAGTCCAATCCCTGGTACCAAACAAACAAAAAATCATAAGACCCACATATGTACATTTCTCTCTTCTTTTTTGTTCTGGCCACAATAGTTATTTTATTCCAAAGCTAAAATGAAATAAAGTAAGTTATATAACAAATTCTATCGTCATGTTCTAGGGTTTTTTTGTGTGTGACTGTGGCATATTTATAAAATAGACTTGTACAAAAATAAGAAAAACGAAGTGTTACTGATTCCACTGCCTTTGATGCAGCAAGTCTCTTAGCGGGAGAAAATAAGAATAAAACCTTTAATGGTAAGTGGTGTCTGATTACATAAGAGATGAGATGACATATTATTTTCACATGAGGAAGCTTCGCTGCATTTCCTTTGACATAATTCTAAACAGTAGGGTTCTTCTGGCAGCTGCTTTTTAGTGAGTCCCAAAGGAAAATTGCACTTGAAGGGACTTTCGCTTCGCAGTGTATAATCTCACTGTGGTTTATAAAGCACTCAGATGTAGGAACTAAGTGTTAGGAAATTTGAAACAGGAGAGTTGGAAAGTGGAAACTGGTAGTAAAGCAACTGTTAGGTGCCTAGACTTACGCAGAGTAGATTTTCTCTGGTCACCTGTTTCAGTTAAGCAGATGCGGTCTTGGTTGTTAGTTTTTTGCGTGGGAGAAAGGAAGGTGTCTGATCTTCTGCTGGGCTCACCCTGATCTGTGTAAGCATGTGTTCTGACTTTGCTGATAGAAAAGAGGAGAGCATTGTACTTTTGGATGGATTAATTGGATTGCACAGTAGTTTAAACAAAATGCCATTATTGCTGCCTTGCAGGAGATAGAAAGGAAGAATCGAATGTTTCCTGAGGGCTGGATGTGCAGTATGTGACTCTTGGCTCACTATAGCTTATCAAATGCCAGCCTATTGTGTTACATTCTTGTTTAAGACTAAGACCCTCAGGAGTCCCATTGCCCAAGTCCAGGCCCCTAAATATGGTTTGCAAGACTCTCTCAAGCTGTCTTGCTTGCTTCCGCCCTGGCCTCCCTTGTTTGTGCTCTCTCCGTCTCTTGCTCTTTCTGCCCCTTCAGAGGTCATCCCTGAGCCGAGCTACTTAAAAGTAGCTCCACCTGAGCCTCCAGGTCTGGTTCAGGCGGTCCTTAAGGGGAAAGTGGCAGCGTGCAGGCTTCCTGTCACCACACCAGCCACCCCACAGTGTCTGCCTTCCCAGGGCACTGAGTGGCCAGCTCCGTTGCATCCTCAGCTCCGATCATGTAGTTGGCACTCAGTAAATAACCAATGAATGAATGAGTGCTTAACTCTAAAGTAGGGGTGGGGTGTAGCTTCTCTTCTGTAGATAAGGAAACAAGCACAGGGCTCTTACCAAATAACAGTGGAGCTGGAATTCCCAGCCATGCCTGTCTGACTCCAAAGCCCTTTCACTAAACAGCTGTCTCCGTGCTCTTGAGTATGTACTCCCTTCCTCTTGAGTCCTCTGTCACATCAAGGGCTGATTAAATACAGCATGGAAGCCCAGAGCCAGTCTAAGTCCACCGTCTGGTGGAGAAAGGGTGAGGGCAGCCCCCAAGGTCGTATCCCATCTGTCAGGGGTTTTGCTCCGCACTGAGATGACCTTGCTGCTTTCCAGGTGTTACTTCTTGTGGGCTTTGGTAGGAGGCAGTGCTGATTATCTCATTCCTCTCTCAGGAGAGGAGTTCGGGAAGCTTTTACGGAGTAGCTCTTGCAGCCTCCGCTGTGGCCAGAGAGTGAGCAGCAGGCAGATTTCCCAGCAGTTAGTGATGTAATGAGAGCGGTGAGGACCCAGAAGGAAGGCAGCACATTATTTCCACTGATTTCTTTCCTCAAAGTGTTCACTGCAAAACACTTCTCAACCTTCCTGGGCCTGTGAGTCACCAAGGGATCTTGTTGAACTTCCAGTTCCTATTCCACAGGTCTGGGTGGACCTAGGAGTCTGAGTTTCTGGCTTGTTCTCAGGGAGGCTCCAAGGCTTCTCATCCAAGGCACTTTTGAGTCCCTAGGCTATCTATCGTTTCTTGTCATGCAGCAGATACGACCATTCAGAGCCCTGAAAGTGAGATGCTGGGAGAACTGCCTTAGGGGGCTGCTTTAAAATATACTTTCAACCAAAGCTTTTCTTCCTTTCCAGTGACAAGAGATGATAGAGCAAGCTACGCTGTTTATGTTATTGGTGCCTTCAGATATGTTACTATTAATTCAACCTGTTGGAAACAGTTATTCTTTCAGCTTTGTAAAAACAAACACATCTGTTTATGCCTTATAGCAAGGGCAGCTGGATTCTCATCACTAATGAGAATTTAAGATTTCTTAATTGAGGGTAAGCTGAAATAAGCTTTGAATTTTTCTCTACTAATACCTGGCACCAGAAAGATTCCTGTTATTTCAGGGATCTGATAAACTGCAGTGAGTGATTCAGTCAGGAACTGGACATTTTGTAGATAATCCACTTTACTTTTAAATACTTAATGTGTCAAACTGATACTGTCTTTTTAAAATGTGTTAAACTGACTTAATATTTTTAAAGTATTGAAATGAATTTGTCTTTCCTCTGCCAAATCTTTGTTCTGTGTTTTCTCTGGAGGGAAAGTTGAGCTGAGAAAGAGCCGAGGAAAGGAGATAGAAATCATTGTTTATTGAGCACCTATCTGACACTGCTCGAATTGTTACCTAGGTTATTTCGATTAATCTACATTAATGACCCAGTAGAACCATACTTCCTGCTCTGTGATGAACATTGATGCTTAGGAAGTGATTAAGTGGCTCATCTGAGATCTCACAGATAAGAGCCTGAAATAGATCTTTCTTGACTCCTGAGCCTCTGTCTTTTGCCCTGAACCAGGTGTTGTCAAACTTTGCTCAGAATGAACTGTAAAGGGAAGGAGGCAGCCTGTGGAGATGCAAAGGTCCCTACCCACAGCAACTGTGTGGATACTGGACATTCTTATTTAGAAGAAAAATAATAGATTGAAATAAGAGAAAACCTTGAAGTATCATTGTTCCATTTGGACACACCATCACCATCACTATTATTGCTTATGATTTACTAACACTTTTAGAATAGATGTTAATCCCAGGTATAGTTCTTCCAAGAAAACTGAAGGAGTACTTTAAAAAACCAGCTTACATTTCACCAGTTACTCCCATGTAACAGGCTTACCTGCCCTACCTACTGCACTGTCTAGAAATATAGAGGAGTTACTAAGAAATGTGTGCATTAAGAACACCTGCACGATTGTGCAGGATGAGCCCCGCCTCTTCCAGTTGCCATCATCCTGAGGGTGTTGGTATAAATGGTAATTTTACTTATTTGTGTTTTTTCTCTGTAAGATTTCTCAAAGGATATGTGTTATTTTTCTGATAAAAAGAACTATTTCCAAGAAGGGTCTGTATAGTCGTAAAATTCAGATATACATGACTTTCATAGTAACAGTCTTTTCAGTTTTGAAGAGCATCATTGCATTACCAGAATTGACATTATTTTTATCCTTAAAGTAAATTGACTTCAAAGTTGAATGTAAAGATATATCTCACCTTTTTCTTTAATTCTCTGGATATGTAATAAAAATAGGCCTAGACCACCATAATCTGTATTCTTAAAAGTACTGTGATCAAACTTTAACCTCTAAAGCACATAATTATAACTTTCTGTTCTCGTGTGGGCTGCTGCCTCTAAATAGCAGCTGTAACATATGTCATTCACCGCGCTGGCTTTTAACAGGTGTACTTAACTTGAACAACTAAAGAGTAGTTCTGTATGATATCATAAATAGATTCTTGGGAATTTAATGATAATGCTTGTATGTAAGTTATTTTTAAAGCACTATAAATTATTTATCTTTTTTATGTCAGAAAGTAAATACAGGCACTCAAATCATTGGTGCCTGATATATAACAATTGCTGTGCTACACCAGCATCCTTTTAAAATTTTATTGTGCTCTTTGGAAATGTGAACACATCTTAGAGCTAGCCTTCACTTCAATTGTATAGAGAAAATATGGAACATTTTTTTGTCCTATGCTATCGGACAGCTAGAGAACAAGTAAAACAGAAAATACAGATAACTTACTTCCCACATAAATTATTTTCAGTCTGTAAGTGGATGTATCAACAGTGAGATAATCAGAACTTTCCTCCCAACCCATACTATCGTGCCTGGAAAATTGGAGGTTACAGTAGACATTTTGAGGAGATTTAATGTTGCGCTCTGGCTGTGCTTTCTTGCTTTGGCCCATTAATCTGTGGGCAAGCTGGCAAGTAGTTCCAATCTCAGTGGGAAACTCAGAGTAGGAAACTTTAGAAATGAAAAGTGTATGATGATGAATCAGAAGAATTTACTACTCACGGAATAAAGAACAAGGGTGATTAAGCACCTGGGAAGAAGATAGAAGAACAGTTTATTAATTGAGGTGGAAATTTTTTGGCAGGTTCTCTTTCAAGCTGGAGAACTTAAATGGGGGACAGATGAAGAAAAATTCATCACCATCTTTGGAACACGAAGTGTGTCTCATTTGAGAAGGGGTGAGTAAAAAAAAAAATCTGTGTGAGACAAATACTTCGGTAAATTTTGAAAACTAACTGGTATGACAAAACTCTTGTGACCTAGGAGACTCTTTAATGAATCAGGTTTTGTTATGTTTCCTTGTAGTGATGTGAAAAAATCTCGTCACACTCTTTGCTTAGTCCAAACTTTAGCCTAGGCTCTCTAGAATCATATTCTCAGGGCCAGAAACCACTGAGGATTGGCTCACTACTAATCTTTCCTCCTAGACATCAATACTAAGACCTTATCTCTGGATTGGTCTGATACTGAATTCAATGGCAAGTGACAGAAAAATCCTAATCGTGGGCTGTATTTTATCTGAATGTAGGGTTCCACGTTTGATTTGGTAGGGCCTGGGATGTTTGTTTTTTTAAACTTTATTATCTTTAGTATTTAGGTTTTTTCCTCTCATGCTCATTACCTCATCATCACAAATTGGTTGCTACAGATCCAAAGAGAGCCATTTCATAGGAAGAAGAAAAGGAAGGGCTAACTTAATCATATCTATCACTTTTTATGAAAAAAGAGAAAGATTACTCAGAATTTACTTTAGGTCTTCATGGGTGTAACTTTTGGGAAGTCATCTATAAACCATCTATAAATCTTCTATAAACCATTGCTTAGATCTTGTGCTGCCAGGGCTGCACCAGGCTCATCACAGGGGAAGAAAAGGCTCTGTCCTAAGAATGGTCATTAGGGTAATACCTGGTCAGAGTAAATATCTTCTTTATGGAAGTAGTGATCCTTATGTGATTAAGAAATCATTTTCACTCGTTCTTCTAGTGTTTGATAAGTACATGACTATATCAGGATTTCAAATTGAGGAAACCATTGACCGGGAGACCTCTGGTAATTTGGAGCAGCTACTCCTTGCTGTTGGTAGGTAATTTTCAATGTATATAATATTTGTGCTGATAAGAGATAAAAGTATTCAGCTGAGGCTAAATCTGAAGATAACCACATATTTCTTCATGGAAAAATGAACATGACATGCTATTGGGTGACATAAACGCCTAAGTTTCTAATTTGGAAATGTTTTGATGCTAGAAATACATGATTACCTAGTTAGTTCAAAATGGAAATACTAAGAATTATTAAAAAATCATTATTAAAAAATCATTAAAAAACTGCATTTATTACTATTTCTTTGTGAACCTGAAATGTTGTGGGGATTATCTTAGAGGCTTATAAATATTATTTCTGATAACCAGTGGGATTTTAGAATTCTCTTGAATGCCATCCTCACAGCTATGAGGCAAACTGAGAAATTGTCATATGGTTAGAAAAAATATCTAATGTATTGATGTAATGGAAGATGGGATGATAGTTATTTTCAGATTAAATAATTTGGAGTTTTATTCTAAGCAAATATTTAGATTAATCTGAGACAGTTGGAGAACTGAGTTTGTGTAGTTGACTAGTTTTATGTATTCTCCAAAGCCAGAGATAAACTAATTTGTAACTTCCCAGTGGTCCTGATTCTCATGTGGGTCTGCAGGGAGCATCTGTCTACAGTTTGTTCTCAGTATTAGGTGTTGAGCCAAAGTGTTTTTTTGTTTTGTTTAGTTTTTGAGAATAAGCTAAATATTTGCATCAGTCACCACTAAAGGTAGCTTTCTATTTGAATATGCCTTTAATAAGCTTTTATTAGAAAACTTTTAGTGTCTTTATAATTAGGATACACATGAAAATTATGAAGTTTCTTAAGCAGTGGAAAAGGGAGAGTTCAGAAACCTCACAATTCAAGGATAATTTTTGTGTATTAAGGAATTACCATATGAAGCTGAGCAGACTGAGGTGTTAGCACCATTTCTTGATATTAGTTATGTACGTGTTCAGAGAGGATAAACCCTTCTAATGTCAGAGTATTTCTCCTTAATTGGATAAATGTCATGCTATTACTGTGAATCATGGAATTTTAAAGAATATGGATAGGATATAGGAAGATGGTCCAAGATTTTTCAACAGTAGATAGAATAGTAATCTTATATTATTTGCTTGAATGTCTTGGAATAAAAGCTTCCAAGTAGTTTAATTCATTAGTGATGAAGGAGGTTGTGGCATAGTAAAAACCCAGACTGCCAAACTGCTATATCCACAAGTGCTCACAGAACAAAGGCATTGAAGAAGCTTGGATCCTTGTTTCACATGCTTTTTATGTAGAACCACAACTCCAAGGAAAACCAAAGTTAGTATCTATGAAACTACTTAGTGAGTGAGGAGATCAGATCAGTTTACAAATAAGCAGCTCTTAAAAATAATACTTTTTTTTTTAAATTATTTTAAGCTTTTAATGTTTGCAGGGGTAGAGTTCTGGGGCTTGAACTCAGGGCCACACAGATGCTAAGCAAGTGCTTAACCACTGAGTTTTACTTCCAGTCCTAGCCTATATTATTTCATTTTCCTATTAGAATAGCATCTGATCATTGTATTATTTATTTTCTTAGTGAAATCTATTCGGAGTATACCTGGCTACCTTGCAGAAACCCTGTACTATGCTATGAAGGTAAATGGATATCCTGAAGCTTCTAATTTATCTTTTTAGTTAGCTTTCTCTGTCTCTGATTATGGAATTTTTTTTTCCTCCTAAAATACATAACCCAGGTCTACTAAATGATTTGACTTTATTGACTTACCCCAGTTCAAGGGTGTTTGATCCTGTGTTTGACATTTTTAAACATTATTTCTTTCTTTTTCTGCTTTAAAGGGAGCTGGAACAGATGATCATACCCTCATCAGAGTCATGGTGTCCAGGAGTGAGACTGATCTGTTTAACATTAGGAAGGAGTTTAGGAAGAATTTTGCCACCTCTCTTTATTCCATGATTAAGGTAGTAGAACCTTTTTACCTTTTTGTAAATGATGTTTAAATGTCCAGAGCAGGGTAATACGTAGCATGCAAGACATGAATGGGGGAATCCAATTTCTGTGTTGACTTTAAATTTTAATCATATGACCAAAGCTAGGAGTTATAGGAGTGAGACTCAGCCTAGTGCTTTCTGAAGTAGGGATGCTGGCTCCCAGGGAGTGAGTATTGTAGTGGCTGAGCCTTGTGGTGATCTTAGAAGCATTATTTAGTGGTGACAGATGACTCAATGAGCCCAAGTCCTTGCCTATGATAATAATGTGTTCTTTTCTTTCTTTTATCAGTTCCAGGTATCTGTTCTGTCCTCCTTTATAGAGTATCAGTTTTTTCCTTTCTTTATTGCCTGTTATCACCTTGTCACTGGTGTTGGTTCATAGTTGCAGAGCCAACCAAGCTTGATTAAGGAGCCTAGGTATCGTTAGGTAGATTTAAGATCTAGGGACACGAGCATCACATCAAGGGGGCTGAAGTAGTGACTTCAGCCTGTGAGAGGGAGTGCAGTGTCTTTTAAGCCTGGGGTTGGGGCCAGAGCTTGGGCTGGGGAATGGAAGGAGGGTTGGAAAGAGGGAGTTGGCTAGCTTTCAACCTAGAACAGAAGTTAGATTGCTATGCGGCTTTAAGATAACAGGTATTATTATAGTTGTTCTTCTAAAAGTGAGGCACTCTGTGCCCTAGAATTAAATTTTCCGTAAAGTCTTTTGGCAGCACCCCCTCTGCACCCCTGGATACATGTTAGTGTGGGCCAAGTGCAGAAGATTTCAGTGAGCAAGGCATTCTAATTTAATGTGTATGGTTTGGCTAGGCTGAGGGGAACCAGAGAGTTTTCCCTTGTACTTATTGCTTGAAACATTAGTATTTTATCCACATTTGTGTGTGAGACAGAGACAAAGCATGCAATGCCCTTCCTTCTGCCTTTGAGACAAAGCCACAACCTCCGTGCGGCCTCAGTGTTGCCGCTCTTGAGCCAGAGATACAATACGTGATAGAAACATGGAATCCACTAGAAAGCTTGATTTCAATATAGTTGTGTTTCCCTGTTCTCTGTGTTCCTAGAGAGAATATGTGGTACTTAATTATCTTAGACAGAACTGTGCCTTTAACAAGTGAAATTAGAAGTTATTGGGTAAGAAACTCCTTGTTTAACATTCCTAATGTAAAAGTCACAGAGAAATTACCCACTTGGGAGAAAAAGTCATAGGAATGTTTCTTGGTGTTGTATTATTTCTCGTGGGTTCTGTGAGTCACGATGATTAAGAATATGTTTGGGTTGTAGGGTGACACATCCGGGGACTATAAGAAAGCCCTGCTGCTGCTCTGTGGAGGAGAGGATGACTGATGCCTTGCTGGGCAGAGATCCCTGCCCTGTGCTGGCCCCTGCCACTGCCGCCTTCCTTCAGCACATCCAGCTGCAGCTTTCTGTATGCCAGTGCCTGACACCTTGCCTTACTCTAGCACGCCGATGACCAAATGTGTAGAAGAAAATAGTGGTCTTCTTCTTGTTCTTCCTGTGAGACCTCCCTGTCTCTGACTGTTACAGTACTGATGTGTACTTACGTTATTAAGTCTCATGTCTGAGTCACTCTTATTTTCCTTTAAGAGGTCAGATCACTTTTAGCCTTTTTTTAAAGCTTCATTTGTATTAAATTTATAACCTTATTACCTTAACCGGAACCTTAGCCTCAAAATTGTGAACTCCTGGAAATGTTATTAATCAAGTCACTACTCAGCTAATCCAACAAAACTATGTTGATTGTATTCAAAAGATTAATGACAAATAAACATTTCCTTCCCCCTGAATTATGTGTACGTGTTTAGGAAGTTTGTGTATTTGACAATGATAACTTTTTTTTTTGTTTTTAAGCCAGTGAACTGGTAGTGGTGCTTGCTGAGAACTGAATTTACAGTTGGTCTTTTGAGCAACAGAAATGTAATATCACACACTGAATTTCCTGCCTAGCATGGAGGGAACGAGGGTTGCAGGGGTCTCTGAGGTACTTGCAGCATGTTTTCTTGGGCATTAGCTCTGGCGGTGCTTGTGGCACCTCTGCTTGGTAGAAGAGCTTATTTTAAAAACTAATGTAAAATTTCACAATCCTAACTTTTATCTTTTTAGTATAAATTCATTTTCCGTCTTTGCCATGTGGCACTTGATTTGAGACAATACAGTTTTTTTATTTATATATTTATTTATTTTTAGAAAGGACCAATTTTTTGTGTGTCTCTTAATAGTTACCATTTCAGTTTTCTATTTTCAAACCACCTCTTCAGGCAGCTTGAAATTTTTCCTACTTGCACTTACAGTCTTGTACAACAAAATGATTGCCATCAAAAAATATTTGTGTTAAATTAGATACTTTTACTTGAAGACTTTTAAATAGTTTTTTCACAACCTTCGTTGCTCCTAGAATATCCAGAGGACCCATAAAAATTGTGTGAATGTACATATGGTATTGGATTTTTCTTATCCCATAAACTCCATAGGCAATTTTGATGCAGAACCAAGTTCAATTAGCTGATATTTTTTTCTATAAAAATATAACTATTAAATAACATGCACAAATATCAACTAGTCATTTATTAAACAGATATGATTTAGAACAAGATTTAATGTAATACAAATCCTTAGGTACAATTTAGTATCTTGTTCATGATATTTGTTTTTTTTGTGTTTTTTTTTTTTTTTCATTTCTAAATTTGGTTTGTTTGATTTTCTTCACTGAATAAGTGAAGTATTCGAGTAGCCCTTCCTGGAACAAATCTGCCAGGAAAGAATCAATTGCAATGATCAGTTAAACACAGTAAAAGCAACATGATTTACTCATTAAATTCTTATATAACTTAGAAGCAAAGTTGTAAGAATTTTTTATATTAGCATTGTTTCCTGCTGCTGGAATTGACAACTAAAGTAAAAAAATTTTTTTAAATATTTAAAAATATCCAGACTTTCTTACATTTTGTTTTAATATTTAGTGACATTCAAACAAGGCTTTAATGGCACTCCATTGAGATCAAAAGAAGAAACCTTTCATACTAAGGTGAAATAAGACATTTCATTTTGTACAAACATTTCATAGCTATCTAATATTGCTCACTTAAATAAGAAAATTTAGTCCTAGTCATTGTGAGACTTCAAGTAACTGCCTAATTCTACGTTAGTAACTGATCTGAATTAGTATAGATCCATGAATTTGTAATAGTACTGTTATTATTAAGTTTGAATTGAATTTCCATATAATCTGTATCTATGATCTTTGGTGGTAAGACATGCCATGTTTGAATACATAAGGCACTGAAGAGTCAATAGTCCAGAGAAAAGGCATATATTCCACCCTTAAATGACATTCTTAAGCTTGTACCACTTGCCATTTTTATAATAGTCAAAAATTTTATATAAGAAATGAGATGTAATTTTGAAAGTCACTTTAGCTATCATTTTATAGTTAAAATATCCCTAACCTTATATTCCATGCAAACTCTGAGTCACTATAGCAAAATTGCTTTGACTAAATATTTTCTCAAAGGAAAAAGAAGAGAGAGAAGTTAAAGAACATACTAGACTAGGAAGTATAGTACCACCATTATCTGTTAGGAAAATTTTTTCCTCATTGAGTTTATTGGTACATTTTAGGTATACAGTACAGTTACATTCATTATTGGGATCTTGTACGTTTACATGACAGGTCTTGGTTCTCATTTTTCCCCTTGTCCCTGCCCTCTCTTCACCCTCTCCTCCCCTCCCCATTTAGAAACATTTTATTAGGAAATTTTAACTGGGCAACAATGTATGAAGGCACCCCTTCACCCCTCCCTATTTACAAAGACTTTGCTTCCATTTTTTCCTTTAAAACTATGTGTGAAGGTACAAATAATGTGCCAGTAAACTCAATTAGGGGGAAAAAGTATTTTTCTTAGATTAATGCAGTGGGGTAGGCAAATTCACCATAAAGTGATAGGAGCTATATTTGTTCTAATGCATCTAAAATTGCATTTCCAGATGCTTGATTTTAGATGATACTTTTAGAGCTTCTATCTAGAAAAGTAAATAAGATCCCTTAAATAACAGTTTTCTCTCTGACCTAAAACTTGAAATCAGAAACTTCTTGAATGATGTGGATTTTTAGCTGAATAAGGGGAAGGAGTTTTGGGAAGGAATTGAGAAGGATCCCAAACATTATATGCCATTCTCGGGGAATGAAGAGTATCACTAGGAAAGCTGTGTGGGATTCTAGGGTTTGGAACTGAAGCCTTGATGAATGAACATGGAAACATGATATTGCCCCTATGGTTGTGCAGGAGATCTGCTAATGTACATTATCTAGGCCTTACTTTCTTATGTGTACCTTCATACATACTGTTCATGATATTTGAATAGCTGATTCAACTGATTTTTTTTCTTTCAAAATCCATACCTCTTAGCCATGTACCAACTTTCCCCCCGCATTTCAGAGCATAGTATCTTCAGTGTCAAGAGTCCTTCACTACTGACTTGGCTAACCATTTCAAGGGGAGGGCAGAGCTCCTGGCAGAACCATACTGGCGTCCACACAGAGCAGTCTATGGAAACAGGAGCCTGGGAGTCCCCAGCTGTCACGGTCCCAGGGAAGCTGGTGAGACTGGCAAAGACCACAGGTCGGGAGGATTTGGGCACCAGCTTCCCGAGTGACTGCAGGGTTGTTCCACACTAGCTGATATGCTTAAAAGTTCTGCTTTTTAAATATCCCACTAGCTTTAAATATAAACCTTGAATTATTTGTTGTTTCAAAACAATGAACTAATGAACTTTAACATTAGCTATATTTAGCCAGTTTGTAACCCACTGCCTAGCTCTTTCTGTGAGTTTATTACAAAACCAGTGAGTGTTTTCAGAACTAGGCAAGCTGATGCTAAATTTCATGTGTAAACAGAAAGCTCTCAATGAGTGAACATTATTCTTTCCATTTAAATAGACTATAAAGCCTGAGTAGTTCATTCTGGTCCATAAACAGATAAATAGCAAACCCAATTATAGAGACTAATATATTTGAACATTTAGTATGTAATAAAGATAAGTCTTAATTTGCTCTGTAGAAATTGAATTATTTCTTTTTAAGTACCTAAATAGTGTGAAGACATTGTACAGCTATTAAGGAAAAGATATGGTTAGATTCATTAATCTCAAAGTGGATCATGAAAAATGAAGGGCAAAGACATGAAAAATTGTTTACAAAATAGACAATATGTTATTCTGAAACATTTAGAAAGCTGTATAACCTCGTTCATAGAATAATGTAAAACTTTGATATATTTCACTTAATAGTTTACCAAAGATCAAAAAGTTCTTAATGGCTATGTGAAACATTGTTTTATTTGGATGGTGCTAGTGAGCATTGTTCTGTCTCCTTTGGAAGGCATTTGGCATTATAGGTCATATTTGCAAATAATACAGTATGCTCTTTGATACAACATATATTTCTAGGGAACTACAGATAGGTGAAATAGCTTGGGTTTAAGACTTTAGCATTACTTCTAATAGAAACAATCTAAAAGTCTGTCAGTGGGAGACTGGGTAAAGAGCAATGCACAATTGGATATAAAACAGCTAAAAAGAATAATGTGTTAGCTTTCTGTCACTGTGTCAAACACCTGACTTAACTTACAGTGAGGGAAAGTTTATTTTGGCTCACAGTCTTAGAGGTTTCTGTCTATGGTTGGCCTGTTGATTTTGAGACCGGCAGCATGGTGGGAGAGAAAGCCTGTTCACCTCATGGTGGCCAGAAAGCAAAACGCAGCAGGAAGAAGCCAAGACTCCAGTATCTACATCGAGGGCATACCCCCAATAACTCAACTTTTTTCCACTGGGCCCCACTTCTTAAAGGTTCTACCACCTCCCAGTCATGCTATAATCTGATTACCAAGCCTTCCACACATGAACCTTCAGGGGGCATTTCAGATCCAAACAATAACAAAGAGAGCTCCATGTGCATTGATACGAAAAATACAGAGGAAATGAATATTAAATGAAAACATTGAGATGCCTAATAGTGATCATACTATGGTTAACATTTGTATTAGCTTTCCTATCACTGGAACACAGTATCTGACATTTCTAACTTAAAGAAGGAGCAGTTTACTTCGGCTGATGGTTTCAGGGGACTCAGTCCATGGTTGGCTGACTTGAACGCGTGAACACCATTGCAGAGCAGAGATGCTTAGTTCATGACACCCAGAAATGGAGCAGAGGAACTGTGTTAGAGAGGAAGAGGCCAACGACCAAGTAGAGACCCAAATGTTATACCTCCATGACCTACCCAGACACCCAGATGTGGGCTTTAGCAATCTGGTAGGCATTTCTTAGTCCAAAAGTGAAAAGGAAGAATTTATGTATGCATTTGTCATACTTCTGAGGGCTCTCTGTGAAACTGGAAATGAATGATGGCTGCACATAGGGAAGGAATCCGGGCAGATGAGGACCACAGAAATCTTTTGATGGTTGAACTGGGTAGATACATTTTAAACACATTATCCTAAAATAAAATCTTTGATCATTTATACAGTAATAGGAAGAAACATGAAGAAAAACATTTAATATTTTAAATACATTTTCAATATGAATTTCAGCAGTGTGTGAGAGCCTGATTATTATTGTTCAGTGCAGCTTCATCTTGCTTTGGGACTGCTCAATTCTGCAAAGGTCAGGACTAGTTGGTTTGGAGAAATCTGGAAATCAGCAAATGGCCAGTACATTTTCCAGCTACTTTCTCTTTATTTATTTTAGTTTTTAGAGTTAAGCATATTGAGGCTGTATTTACATACAGCAAAATTCATTCTTAG